ATTCAAATGCGTTTGGCAGCCGCTGAGCAGCGCCAGAAATAATCCGATTGTGAAGAGGCCTTTAAAGTTCTGCTCCATGGCTGGCATTGGCTTGGTAAATCACACTTGAACTGTTTAAATAATAATTGCTTGTTTATTGTTTACTTCGCTTTGATTGCCACTGGCTAAACACTCGCCGAATTTTGCTCAATTTTTTTAATCTTAGAATATGGCGCGCATTTTGCTTTTGCAATATTTCACAGTGCGTTTTTGGCACTTCGCCTCGCGGAAGTTTCAGACGCGCATATTCCAATTGGAATTAACACCTAGACGTGCGTGGCTCTGCTGAAGAGCCGAGACAAATTTAATGCCCGTTGGGTTATTTGGTTTTCCGCGACGAATTTTCGTTGATGCGCGCACCGTGACGATTTTCCACAAACTGTCAACTGGATAAACAAAACAATGCTATTGCCGAAGTATCTTTCAGATAATTTCAACAGACTCTGTTATGGCCACACTCTGTTATGTTAATCCACACAGAGTCTAACATTTACAGTGGTTGCTTCTGTTCTGCACATTCGAGTTTCGAACAACAGAGCCGCTTGCACAGCTGTTTTCGAAGTTTCGAACATTGTGTTTATAACAGTTCTGTCTGTCTGTTACAGTTCTGTTAAATTACTGATATATTCAAACACATGTGCACACTTTAAAAAAGGAAATATAGAAATTATGAATATAAAATTGAAATAAACATGTTTACATATTATATTTTTACATATAAACATAATTTTTTTTATTTATATGGGACACACTACAAATGGTTATGTTAACTCCAACTTGTGGATGCTATTGCGCCACCTTACGTAAATATTTGGTACTACGGCCAGATTATAACAGTTTACTTGGCAAGGGGAAATGCAATTCCAATTTTATACATTTTATATATTACCCCTTACAGTAGCTCCTACAGAAAAAATACTTTGGAGTATTTTTTGAACTGTCTCTAAACTATGATGAATAATGAAATTCATACTACACGTATTTTATTTTTATAAATTATGACTGGATCGTAGAAGTAGCTGCACTTTTAGCTTCTACTCAAAATATATATCATATGAAATGAGTATATCTTATAAATTATAGTTAAATTAATGTAATTTTGGACACTCATACCGCTTTAGCTAGGGACTTACATACATATCTATTCTGACTACACAGTAATATTTTAAGACATTTTAAGTACTCTCAAATACTTTTACACATTTGACACACCAATTTGGCCTACATGAATAATACGATTATGATCATAAGTGACTATTCTTTGACTGTTAGCTGTTCGATGGAGCTCAGCGTCGTTTCTATTAACAAATTGTAGTCCAACTCATTGAGACTCGCCTTGGCCGTGAGCAGGTCCAGGAAGGAGTCCAGCGGAGACAGCGTTTCAGCCGTGAGATCTGCAAAGAAAATGAAAAATAAAATTGAATGGAAACAATTATACAAGCCATTCAGTAAATACATTTAACGACAAATCCACAGACAGACAGACACAAACAGATGCGCTGCTTACCAACCAGAAGATGATCGGCAGTTGGGAATAACTATGTGATTACCAAATGGCGGATCGCTGCACAAGCACGAAGCGTGCAATGCTTAAAATGGCTGTGGTTAAAATGATAAGCAAAAAACCCAAAAGCAACGAGTGACAAACGATGGTGGGAGGCTTGCCCAGTGCTAGACCGGGTGTTGGATGACAATGTGCAAATGAAAATGTGTTAAGCTAAGTGTCACAAATGATCAAGAATATAAAGTTGCTTCCTACCGGTTCTGGCATGCATTCGCGACTGTGAAACGCCACCAGATCCGCGCCGCTGTGCCGGCTCCTGATGCTGACCCGATAAGATATTGGCCGCATGCTCTCGGCCCCTTATCATAAGACTCTCTGGATGCTGCCAGCATTTTAGCAAACGCTGAGCACGCTGCTTAGGCAGAGCTGAGAGCAGCGACAGCTTACGCTCGATGCCCTGCGGCGTGTCCTCGATATCTGCAAGCAAAGAAATTTGATTATTCACATTGTCAGTGAGAGAATTGGATTATATATACACACCGAAAACGATTGCCTTCATGACATCGACTTGTAGCTCAAACACATGATTCTCCACGTATTGCAAAAACATGTCATAGTCCAGGGCGCGGTAGCCCAAGTATGTGAAGAACGAGGAGAAGCCTTCAGGCAGCGGAAAGGCAATCGACTCCACGGCCAAACAATAACGTTCAAGTATCAGAAACAGCGAGTGCTGCTGATTGCTGGACATCTGGTCACTAATGGTCATAGAGAAGAATTTTACATATGCAAGACACTTATATAAATATGAAACCCACATCAGTTGAAAGCCGCGCAATGTCTCCAAGCGCGCATCCAAGCCGGCCGCCCGACAAACCAGCGAACACAGCGCACGGGACAGCTCCAGCTGAGCGGAAACGAATTGCGAGGCAACTGCATGAACATGGGCTGGAGCCTGCGAGCGCTCGAAAAAGGTTTCCTTCAGCCAGCGGAAGCCCGAATGCGGCTTTGAGGAATGCTTCACCAAATGCACGCTGAGCTCTCGCAAATACTGAAAGAAGGGATATGTTAAATATGGAAATTCCTTTAAGCTAAATTCTAGCTTAGACGTACAACGGAAAGGACGTGCTCCTGCTTGCTGGCCGTGCAGCCCTCGAGCTCAATGAACGGCAGCACTTCGCTGCTGAAGGGAAAGGCGCTGCCGCTGCTGTAATCGCCAAAGCCACCGCTGCCTGCATCTGGCGTCATGGGCGTCGTGCAGCGGGAAAGCGCCTCCGGCTGGTAGCAGGCCAGACTAAAGATCAGTTTCTCCGTCACCTGCTCGGCTGCGAAGCGCGGTTGCTCCTGCTTGGCAGACTCATTCAGTAGTTCCCACAGCCGCGTCCAGATATCTGTGCGATAAGGAGACAAACGCTGCTGCGGCGACAATAGCATCATGCTCGTATTATGCAGCGCCTCGTGCGATATGCCCACGTTGATGTCTGCGACGCGCGCTTGAATGGGTCGCGTGGCCATCGCCGTGGTCAGCGGGAGCAAACGCATTAGCGGCTTTGCCTCCTCGGGCAGTCCGCGCACTGCTGCTGCATAGCTGCCGGCAATGAGCGCCTCCTTCAGCAGCGCCACGGTATCCAGCGACAGAGGCCGCTCCAATATGCTGCTCAGCAGCTCGGCCAGAACATCCATGTCAGTGGAATGAATCAGGAAGTAGTGGATAATGCTGATGCGGTTGTCCAACGAGTTGTCATTGCGGAATGTTTCAATCAGATGCGCCTTTGGCACACTCAGCGAGACAAGATCTAAGGTGGCAGCATCGAAGGCTAGTGCACCCCACTTGCGCAGCGGCACCAGGTGAGTAACATCGGGACCTCGATTGACTACGGCCGGGCACACAATATGGCACGTGGGCTCGTGCTGCAGGCCCACGTCCAGCAGATGCACAAAGATTGCTGATGAGACCAACAGATGATGCGAGCCCTGCAGCGCAAAGGTGGGACGCAGCAGGCGCGCCTTGTGCCAGGGCACGCCCGGCATGACGCAGTGCACCACACATCCGTGATGCAACAGCGACACGGAGTAGGCAAAGTGCACATCCTGCTGCTTAGTTGCCTTGTTTTCCTGCGCATGCTGCGGCTGCATGGGCTGGTACAGATAATAGTGGCACACGAAGAACATGCCCGAGCTATCGGCCAGGATGATCAGATTCAGTGAGCTGTCGTGCACGCGCAGTGGCACAGCGTCGTCATCGTAGCTCGGCGGCTCCTCTGCGGCATTCGCGGGAAGTTTCGGCAAATTGAGCGGAATGTTGAGCTAGCGAAATTGGAAATTACAAATCTGAATGCAAGTTCCATTTCACCGTCAGTTCGATCGCACTTACAACTGTTTCCGTGGGCTGCTTCTCGTTGAACTGAAATGCTGACAGAGTGGGACTGAGAACCGGCGCCGCCTGTTCGCCTGTCTGCTCCCGCTCGTCCAGCAAGCTGAGGCTCACGGCCTTCGGCTTGAGGTGTATGTAGTAGAGTGCCTGGCACTCTGAGTCCCACTGCGCCCAGCTGAAGTTCTTGGCCAGCGTCTCATGGGTTAATATGCTGACGTCCAGGCGCCAGGCGCTGCCCTCCACACAGCCGGTTTGTGAGGCTGTCGAGCTTTGCTTAACCGTGCAGCTGTACTGCTTGATAGCTGAATAAGTTGTTTATTAAGTCAGGATTACCGCATATTCACTGACTACTCACAGTCCTCGTGTGTGAGCACCAAGAGCTTGTCCTGCCAGCAGGTGCGTGTGGCGCTCTCCACTCGCCAAAGGAACTGCGTCATAATCTGCCGGGTCGACGGCTCGGCCGTGAGGCATGTGGGCGTCCCACCCTCGCTGCTGCGCACTTCCACAATAAAGGCCTGATAGCGCTGCGACGCTTTTACCACATAGGACAACAAGGTAATGCTGCTATTGATGCTCGCCTGGATGATTTCCACGCAGCCGGACAGGGTCCAGAGCACGCGTACCTGCTTCTTGGTGGCATGGAAGTGGCCAATGCAGGTTTCGCGCTTAGTCGGCTCGTCCAAATATTCGAATATCCATGAGGTTAGCAGCGACCCGTCCTGCTCCTGGCCCAAAATGCGCCACTCGTTCGCCTTTTCTGCTTACGAACATATAACAAAATGATTTGGATTGGTTTCAATGCTTTCTATGCCGACTGCAACACTTGCCTTTGTAACCCTGAGCGGCCAAAAGGCCACAGAAGTTGGCAGCCAAGTTCTCTTGCCGCAGCATGGTAATTTTAATTTATTTATTTTCAAAATATTTTCGCCTTTATAGCATTTTCAATTTTCAGCGAAGCACTCAAGAAATCAATAAACATTGCGGAAAGTTGGCAACGCGACAATCAGCTGTGCAGGGTGACCATATGTACATATTTAACTGTGTGGCAGCGCCACCATAAAGATCTTTAAAAACATGGCGCCCAGCACCGTTATATTCAATATGTTGCGCAACATTTTGCAAAAAGAAATGAGTACTGATAATGCCAAGTGAAATAATTACCCTACAATTGGGCCAATGCGGCAATCAGAGTAAGTTAATTATAATTTATAAATACATGTAAGGTGCTAATTTTTAAATGCTAACCCAAAAGTTGGCTTTGAGTTTTGGAAACGCCTTTGCCTGGAGCATGGCATTTCCCCGGATGGGGTGCTCGAAGACTTTGCGGCCGATGGACACGATCGCAAAGATGTCTTCTTCTATCAGGCAGATGACAATCATTATATACCACGAGCAGTCTTATTGGACCTGGAGCCCCGCGTCATTCACAATATAATGACCTCGCCATATGCCAAGGTAAATATATACGTATGTAATTACATATGCAACTGATTGAAATTGTTTCAATTGTCAGCTCTATAATCCGGAGAATGTTTACTTGTCCAAGCATGGCGGCGGTGCTGGTAATAACTGGGCTTCTGGCTTTAGCCAAGGCGAGAAGGTGCAGGAGGAGGTGTTTGACATACTTGATCGTGAGGCCGATGGCAGCGATTCACTCGAGGGATTTGTACTCTGTCACTCGATAGCTGGCGGCACAGGATCTGGCATGGGCTCATACGTGCTCGAGCGCCTGTCGGATCGTTTTCCAAAGAAGCTTATCCAAACGTACAGTGTGTTTCCAAACCAGGACGAGATTAGCGACGTTGTCGTGCAACCGTACAATTCAATACTCACTCTGAAGCGGCTCACAAAGTGCGCCGATTGTGTCGTGGTGCTGGACAACACGGCCCTGAATCGCATTGCCACGGAGCGCCTGCACATACAAACGCCCACCTTCACCCAGATCAACAATCTGGTGTCCACGATCATGAGCGTCAGCACCACCACCTTGCGCTATCCCTCCTACATGAACAATAATCTGATTGGGCTCACAGCTCCGCTAATTCCAACACCCCAGCTTCACTTCCTTATGACTGGCTATACTCCACTGATCACAGACTATGAGGTGAGCATGTAAATGAATTAGAATTAAGATTACTTTTCAGCTATCATTGGTTCCTTTGACCATTTGCAGACGAAGACCAATGTGCGCAAGACAACAGTTCTGGACGTGATGCGCCGCCTGCTGCAGCCAAAGAATATGATGGTCTCCTCGACCGCCGACAAGCGGCACTGTTACATCTCCATACTGAACATAATACAGGGCGAGGTGGATCCCACGCAGGTGCACAAGTCGTTGCAGCGCATACGCGAGCGCAAATTGGCCCAGTTTATACCGTGGGGTCCGGCAAGCATTCAGGTGGCATTGTCGCGCAGCTCGCCCTACGTACAGACGGCGCACAAAGTATCCGGCCTGATGATGGCCAATCATACGGGCGTGAGTGCCCTCTTCAATCGTGCATTGGCCCAGTATGATAAGCTGAAGAAGCGCAATGCCTTTCTGGATCAGTTTCGCCGTGAGCCTATGTTCCAAGACGATTTGACCGAACTGGATTCGGCCCGCGACACGGTTGACTGTCTGGTGCAGGAGTACGAAGCTGCCACACAGGTGGACTATCGACACTGGAGTCCGCTGACGAATGGAGCAAAAGTCACAGCTTAGGCATTTTTCAGCTGGCTAAATCACAGTATAGCCCAGTAGGCCTTGCTTTTACATTGTTCTACGCCAAGCTTACAAAAATCAACCTCATTCCATTTTAGGGATACTATGAAGTAACACTAAATTTTCAAATTTCTCTGGGTGCTGCCTATTGTGTGGTTCGTATATGGATATTTTTTAAAATACAACTTGAAGTTTATAAGCAATCATTGATTCCCCTATTTTTAGTTGTACAGCCATGTCGAAGTTAAAGAAGTCATTGAAGACTTTAAGTCATACCATCAAGGACTTTTTGGGCTTGGGAGTCCAGCGAACTCTCAATCTTTTCGGATACCTTGGTGGTATAGCCTTTCGAAATTGAGCTTTACAATACACAATTGCCGGCTGTTTATCTTAAACCCAACGTTTCACATACATCATGCATTAGCAGAACACATTCCCGTTTAGATCGTTTTAATACTTATATAGTACGAACTATGTTAAAAATTAGTGAGAAATATGGATACATAGCTTGTGTAAGCCTACCAATAAATACGAAGTATACTTGTTAATTTTACCGCTCTTGAAAAATGTTTTATTGAACTTCTACTCAGTGAGTGATATAAAACTTGTTCTTAAATATGGTTCATAGTAAGGATACAAATATGTAATATGTCATTCACCAGTCGAAACGACACCTGGAATGTCATATGAATATAGTTTAACTGCGCAGTCAGCAAAGCGCGTGATTATGCGTGCGTGTGTATGCAAGTGTGCATAAAAGAAGTGCAGTATGAGTAGAATATCAGCTCGAAGGGTTCAGGGTATCTCCTAGTCGAGCAGTCTCGACAAGAGCCTTCATACTTGTTATACCCTGAACCCATTGAAAATGTTAAATCAGGACATAAATAAATGTATATACAGGCAGATAAGTGGCAGACTCCATAAAGTATACGTAATCAGGTCGACGAGGTGGGTCGTTCGAAAGGTAACATTCAAGCATCAAAATTCTTGAAAAGTTCACTGAATAGCAATCTTCAATCATTTCAATAATTTAAAATTTTTAATATTGACAGAGACAATATACTCTTTCCCACCTTGCACGAGTATAACAAGGCTGCAAAAATCGAATTGTATTAAAATGTTAATGTTACCAACCCATAGGTTTATCAACATGAACATCGTGTTTATTACAATTGCAAGATAAAGTTTCCGTTTTTTTTTTTTTTTTTTTTTTTTTGTTTACATTATTTTTTTGTTACCACATTTTTGAAATGCTGCATTAATCTTGCTGATCGAACCAGATCGGAGCAGTTTGATCCACCGGCTCTTCGGCAGTCAACAGTCGACGCCAGGGGCCATCAGGTCTGCCGTCGTTTAACAGCCACAGCAGAAGGAACATTGCAAAAACGCCGGGGTGCAGGGCGAGAAACACATCTCAACACAACAGGATTGACAACAGGGTCCGCCACACGGTGGGCCACAGAATGAACACCATCCAGCCGGACCACAGCACATATTCTGAAAATATTCAGTTGATTCAACTTCTAAGACTCCTCGCATTTACAGTTAATACTTACGTTTAAGAGATAGGTGAAATCAAAGCTCTTCGGGCAATATCAGAATATATTATTCGTTGAAATTTGGTTATATTTTGTGTGTGCTGAGCGGCTTTTAGGAGGAGAACACCTAACAAAAAAATAATGTAAGTTTTTTACACAATTTTGTATGTGCTTACTACACGAATTTTGAACCAAATCTGAAGATCTCAACCAGATTCGTTTCTGCCTAGCCAAAAATTGAAACTCCTTTTCAAGGCCTGTTTCGATTCTGATCCAAACATCGAAATTACTCAGCTTAAGTTTTTTTTATACACTGAACCCATTGGAAATGGGAAATCAGGGTGCAATAGTTTTGTTAAATGTATGTAACAGGCAGAAGGAATCATCGCAAACTCCACAAAGTATACATATTCTTGATCAGGGCGACTAGCTGAGTTGAATTGGCCCTGTCCGTCCCGTCTGTCCGTAAGTTTGAACGTGTCGATCTCAGAAGATATAGGAAATAGAGACTTGAATTTTTTTCTAGGTCCGTGTATACCGCGCGCATATGCATTTTTTCTTCAAAAATCGATTACTTATCCCGTTATTTTGTTATCGATTAAAACCATTAACGAAAATCAGTAATAAATTTATATCTGCTACATCTTTAAAGCTAAAGTCACCAAATTTTTAATGTGCACTCAAATATACTTTATAGAATTTAAATTTTTGTTAAAATTTACCCCCCATCTCTTTATCCACCCCCTCGCCCTTAAATTTGTAAGAGGCGTATTTCAAATACTAGAGACTTGTGTTTTGGCAAATGCACTCATAGGCATGCATAATCTGAAAGTTTCATGAAGATAGTCCATCCACAAGAAAAGTTGTTAAGCAATTAAGTTCCCGCATGTGCGAATAACTATTTAAATATCAGTTGCTCGAAGGGTTCAGGGGATCTCGTAGTCGAGCAGTCTCGACTAGAGCTTTCTTACTTGTTTTATTCTGTTTATTATTGGACTTTTCTCTTTGGGAGTTCTGTGACCTTCAGACAAAATTGGGAGAGTGACAAATGTTGGCGTGGGTTGATGAAAAATGATGAAGATAAAACTCGTCTAAGAGGTTTTACTGGTGGGTAGTATCATTAGATAAAGCTCGAAGATATACGCGTTATTTATATATGAACTGAACTTATGTATATGTATCTATATAGACATGTATATGTGCGTATATATTGTATATTCATATGTGAAAGTATGTATGAGAATTCGCAAATGTTCATATCATATTCATATACCCAATTTTATTAGACAAATTGAAACTTCATATCTTTTCGCACTATGGCTACATTTTAAACAAACTGCAAGACTTGGTAATCCAAAATATAGAATTATATTGAATGTCGTGGAAACACATTTCGATTTCTATGAATACACTCAAATACATAAACGCTTTTTCAATAGGCCTTGCCTTAACACGCATAAACTTGCCTCAGGGCTCTAAAATATTTCAGTTTCAAACTACACCTGGAGTCGATAGGTTTGTCTTAATTTCTGATAAATCGCAACCAAACTTAGTCCTTTAGTAAGTAGCCAGAAAATATAATTCGCTTCGAGAATATATATTTCGTTGATTCCATCTGCAGGGTGTGAGCCATCATGTGCTGCCAAAGCCGCTACTACCGGGAGACACCCTGTGTCCAGTGCTGCCTAGTCGATTGCAGCTACTGCTGCTATCGAACACAATGCGCGGGTCCCTGTGGCCCCTGCAGGACTGCGGCGCCTTGCTGCTGCGGAGCTGTCGGCGATCTCAACTACAAATACTCCTTCTTTGGACTGCATTTACTCTAGGCGGAAATCGATGTAATTCCTTTGTCTCCCCTCCTAGCAGCGGCAGCAGCAGCACTTGACTCATCGACCTTGACCTTAGACTAACTGCGACTCCCGAAATTTGTTCTGCAAAATTATCAGTTGAAAATATATGTCAAAACATCCAGCCCAGTCGGTATTGCTCGTCTAGGAGCTGCTCTGAGCGCTTTAAACAGCAGATATTGCCATTCATTTCTTAGTAAATCTCTAGATCGCACGGCGTATAAGTTAAACAGGAAAAAGTAAATGAAATTATCGATTTTTATCGAAACGAAATGGGATTAATTATCGGACTAAAATGTATTGTATACACGATTTAACAGAGTCAACACAAGTTAGTCGTAACTCCCCCACAACGATGTGCATTTAAAGATTGTCATACGAATAGTGTAACTGAAAGTCCCTCAACAGAAAGCAGCATGTTAGAGTGCTCGGCAGAACGAGGCGTAGCAGACCCTGTTGAATAATCAGGAAAACTAGCTTCAATAGCGTCCAAATTTTACAAGTTTAAAAAATCTATAATTATAAACTACTAACTATGTAGGAGTTGGAAAGAGGTGAGTTAATGGTTTGTTTGTGCAATAAAATAGAAAAGATATTCTGGACATCCCAAGCACAAGTGCTGTATATAGCGCGCTCAGTTGGCGTGCTACCGGCTATAAAAAATAAAAATTGCAGCTCTAAGCTAATTTTTCAAATTATTTTTAATATCAGTCTCATCTGTTACAAATTCAAGCTAGAGTTCAAGAGCAAAGTATGACAATATCTTGAGATAGGATAAGAACTTACCAATGTAGGATGTATATAATCAGAGTTGTTTGCTTCCACAAGTCTGATTTAGTTTACATTCAGCTATTCTCATTCCTTCTCAGTCAAGAAAACAATTGGTTAATTTATTAAAAACAAAATTATTTATTTTTTATTTTTAATAGTTTTTCTTTTGTTTTTGTGATGGAAATAGAAATTCTTACAATACAATTGTTACTGTTTTTTTTTTTTTTTTTTTTTTTTTTTTTTTTTTTTTGTCATTAATATTTACTGTTACACAACATTTTTTAAATGTTAATTAATACAATATATAATAATAATAATATAATATAATAATAATTTCATTTTTATTTTATGTACTTCGAAAATTGTGGCCCCTAAGCATTTAAAAGACTTATATTTGCTTCAAGTTCTGTTTGGTTGTAGTTTGTTTTTTTTTTTTTTTTTTAATTTTAATTTTTTTACTGTTATTCGAGTACACAATAATATTAATCAAATGCATACAAATGAGTTTTTCATTCATTTCAGATTTTTTTGTTCCTTTTTCGTTTTTTCTTGGTGTATAAAAATATTTGTATATATTTTACCATTTTCTTTTTTACCGTTATTCATGTTGCCTCTCACTTACACATTAGAATAATGAGTGTTCAACTGCTTCATATTTTTTTTTTTTTTATTAAAAATTTTGCTTTTATAGTAGCATTTAGGCATACAAATTTAATCGTAATAATAATAGTTTTTAATGAGTTACTAATAACTTTCACATTTATGACATCGGTATTCGATTACGATTACGATTATATATACATATATGTGTATATATATTTGTGTATACATGTATTTATTTTTGTTTTCAATTTTTCTTTAAAAAATATGAATACATAAAAATATATGTATGTATGTATGTATGCAAATGCCATTCATATGCAATTTTTGTTGTTGTAGTACTTATAGTTGTGGGTTGTTGTTGTTGTTGTAGTGTGGGGTATAAATATTTGCTTCTTTTTTAATGTATGTAGGTAGTTGCATATGCAGGGTGTTCACTGTACTGTGTGGATGTGGGTGTATGTATGTATGTATGAGTAGTTCGCAATTCAAAATAAAGTCACAAATAATTCGAATTAAATACATATAGAAAGAGAGAGAGGGAGAGTTGGAATGAGATGTATGTATGTATGTATGTATGTAGTATATGTATTACTATATGCATTTTATATGAAACAGTGCGCATATAGTATGCCTTGGTGGGTGTGTGTGTGTATTTATCTTCTTCATCTTTGTCTTTGTCTTTGTCTTCGTCTTCGTCTTATATCTTTGCTTTGTTTTCTTAACTGATTAACATAAATTTAACAATTTCCCGAAACAGCCAAAGAGTGCGGGCAACACTCAAAGTTACACATTTATATTTGTTTTCCTTTTTATATTGATTTTTTTTTTTTTTTTTTTTAAATGCCAACCCATCTCTACACTTTCATTGATATATTAATTACCTTTCAGTCCATTAGTCCATATATATATTTGTATATATATATGTAATATATATTTGGTTTTTTTTTTTTTTTTTTTTTTTTTTCTTAACAAACTTTTATTAATAAACTAAATTTGAGCGAAAAACTTTAACTAAGATTTGTTGTTGTTTTAATCGTTTATTTAGATCAGAAATAACTGTATGTATGAAAACATGTAAATGTATGTGTGTGTGTGTGTGTATGTGAACATATGTGTTTAAATGTGTGTGTGTGTATATATATATGTAAAGCCATTTAGCAACACCCTGTATACTATGTTTTATTTGAAAATTCAACTTGTTTCTTCCTCTTCTGCCATTTAGCAGTGAGTTCAAATGCTCAAAAATAAAATAAAAAATCAATGGCAAAATGTTTTGTTTTCCTTTTGTAAAATGCTTAAAACGTTTGCTAAAACTTATCAACTTAATTGTAACGACATTTAACATGAAATTGGTGTTTTTTTAAGTTTTTTTTATAGTTATAAAAATACATATATTTATATATATGTTGACTTATAATAATATATAATAGCTTGTAAAATGACTAGATGACGATATCATAGATCATGATGTATATAAGTATGTATGTATACTATATATATATATATATATATGCAAATGCTATGATGTATGATGAAAGATGTACGATGAACATATGTATGTATGTATGTATGAACGTCGATTAAAATTCTTAGCAAATTGTTTCATATGAATGTGTGTGTGTGTGTGTGTGCGGTTCGACCGTAGAGACTCATTAAACTAGATCTAGATTTTATATATACATATATATATATATATATATATATATATATATATAAATATATAATTGAGTCCCAAAATTGATTTAAATTATTTATGCATTGTGTAATTGTGTAAATTGTGTAAAAACGTAAACATCTAATTAGCATCATTTAATCATGATGAAAACAATTTCAACACAAATATTAAAACAATTAAAAGTATACTAGTCGGTAATGCCCGACTAGCAAACACCCTGAATCCGCATGTTATTTGTTAATCTAATCTAATCATTCCAGGCATTAATAAAGCCTGGAAAATAGATATAACGACAAGTTTAATTCCCTATTTTAGTAGATCTAGCTGTAAGTAAAAATATAAAATACTATTAAAGGTAGTAGATACTACTATTTTCATAAAGAAACAAATTGGCTTAATAGTAACAACTATTTTAATGAACAACTCATTTTTCGGTTTTATTCTTTCTGAAGGATAAATCAGTGAAAAATATGCGAATCGCAATATTAGTTTTGATATATTGTGCTTATCAGCTTATTATCAGCTAAAATTTTCTTGTCCAATATTTAGGGCTCAGTCCCATCATTAGTTTCATGAGTTAGAGTTCTTTCGATTATAGATTGAGTTGGATGGAAAAAAGGAATACCCATCCAAAAGAATGTTCAAGAGATTTGCCCAAATAAAATGAAAACTCTTTAGCCTGAATACAGTTTCAGTTGATGATTTGAAAGGAGATCCGCTTCTACGATTCGGGATCAAATAATACATGTGTGGCTACAGATGTTGATTAAGTATATATATATATATATTCTCCCTGTTTAACGGATTCAGGGCATAAAAAAAACAGTTGTGCAAAATTGGAATGAATAAAAAGAACGATTCAGGTATAACCTATAAATGTTTAAGAAATAGACACAATATATATATGTATATATATTGCTTTATATATAAATGTGTTTTTTTTTTTTTTTTTTTTTTTTTTTTTAATTTAGTTCTCTGGAAAATTAAAAAGAAAATTCGTATGTTCTGGCTGCAATCGGTCTGCCAGGTTGTTTAGCTTTTTACGCGTAACTGAAAATAAATAAAAAGAAAAGTGCAAATAGTTGATGAAAATAAATAAAACAACGCAATATTTGCTTTACTTTTTTTTTTTTTTTTGTGAAAACAAGTGAAACATCTTTAAGCTTTAATGAATACAAAAAAGAAAAATAAATAAACAACGTCGAACAAAATACAAAATTAATACCATATGTAAACGTAAACTCTATAATGTTTTTCTATGGAAATCTAAAGCAAAATTAAAATAATTTCTAAAAGTTACATAAAAAATTTGTTAATTATTGCAAATTCATTAACAAATTCTTATTATATTTATATTTGTTTTTATTTGTCAAGCTGCACTTGACGCGAGTTGAATCTATGAATACATACATATATGTGTACATACATATATATGTATATTTAAGCAAAGTACACGGTATAAATATTTCTTAAGATGCGTATAAATACATTAAAATACAAATACAAACTACAAATGCTTGGATATGAATGTGTTGGTAGTCTTCAATAGGAAGTATAAGCAGCTAACAACAAACAGTTATCTATTATATACTATATATATCATATGTATTACATACTACTACATATATGCATATATATAGATATATATGTATACTTTAAATAGTTGTTTTGTTTCTTATAATTTTTGCATGTTTAACTTTTCGTTCGCTTACAAATAGAAAATAGAAAATATAATGAAATTATTTTCTCTTCTATATTCCAAATTATGATTATTATAATTATTATTATTACTATTTAAATTTCTCTTGCGCGCAAAGCAAAGTAAAAGAAAAGTTCAGTTGGGTTTAGTTTCAAGTTAAGGATGAAGTGGAAGTGAAAGCCTATCAATTTTCCAATGAACCAAAAAACAGAGCTGTGAAAATTCCCTAAACGAGTCGCAATCCATTTTTTCTTTCTTTTCTTTTTATCTCACAAAGGTTTCGTTTTTTATTTTTAATATACATATTTTTTTTTTTATTAGTTTTATTTCACGTTTACGTTTTCGAAGCAGTCTAAGATTTTGTTGTTCTTTGTTAAGTGTCATAAAAAATGTGTTTTTACCGTTAAGTTTCACTACTAATTCAATAGAGAATCAACAACACACACACACGCATGCACGCACATGCAACTTGAGGCAGCTGCATATGCTCCCAGTGTGTATGTGTGTGTGAGTGCGTGTATGTAGTTGTAATTATATATATACATATATAGTAGCAACATTATATATATATATATTTCTTTATATGTAAAGATGTATGTATATAGTAGTATAATATGTATATTTATGTGTAAATGTTTTCGTGTAAAAATCAGTCATAGTTGTAATTGTTTATCAATTATGTTCGCATTGCGCTGCGTATGTGTGTATGTGTGTGTCGCTCATATGCGAAAGCAAACTTAGAGAACACTGCATCAAAGAGAGAGAGAGAGTACAAAAAGCTTTGCTGAATAAAGCTCAGATTTTGAGAGATCAGAACACACACACATACATACACACACGTACACGCAACCATGCATTTCGCTTTACTGTGTACTTACATATGTAGGTAAGCATGTAACTATGCATGTTGCCTGCACAGTGTAGCCATATGCAGTGAAAAGTACTGCATATGCGAGTTTTTGTCAAATTGATCTTTGTGTTTTTGTTTCTGTTCTGTTTTATATCTCATTTTCGTTTGGTTAGATTAAAAAACTAGTGACGACAACAACAATGAAAAATAGTACATATTCGTATGTATAATTGCATGTGTGTATATTTTATCGTTATCTGACAAACTACGCAAGCAAGCTTTGAATAATTGATATAATTGAATTTTTCAAAAAAATATACATACAGACATTTATTGGCATGTATGAATATTAATATATATAAATATGAATTTATGTCTGTACACCTGCATGCTTATTTGGGTTCTCTAACATTCAATTTAACATTATTTTGTTTTTTTTTTTTTAATTTTTTTTAATCTTATTAATAGATAAATATGTATTCATTATTATTAGAATAAATATTCTAGGAGTATTTCCATTTTCTATGCTGACGGATTATCGAATTTTAGCTGTCTACTTAAGAGAAAAATAAAAATCATAAATGGGAAATATAAATTCAAATAATAACTGCATACATACATAAGTATATATCGATACAGTATAGTTTTCACTATTTTCTAATATAGTCTAATAATACTTAAAAACACTTCTACGAAGCCAGTTTGAATTTTGTTTATTTAGTTCGCTGCTGCCGCTTGTCAATAATCATTATCGTTAAAGATTTTCTTTTTCTTTTTTAATACATGTACAAATTCTAAATTCCGTACAAAATGCTCAACAATGTTTCTTAGGGATCTCAATTTTATTTTTAATTTTGTTTTTTTTTTTTTTTTTTGCTTTTTGTTTGCGTTTGCTTTTGCTTATCATTTTGCTTTGATTTTGGATTTGTTTTGTTTAATAACATTTATCAAAAATATAAACTACATTAAAAATTATTTTTATGCATATCCATGGGCTCAATTCTAGATCTAGATCATTCAACTTGTGCCGACAGTCTCTCAACCTCAAATTCAACTGCAACGCAAACCAAACACGAAACGATACCTATACCTACACTTTGTCCACTTCACCTTCTTCTATATATTGCCCTATTCCTTAGATGTGTGTAACCCGACTTGGACTTCTGAAAGTTAAGTTTTTTCTGAAGTCTAAATATTAGTGTAACATTCAAAACCTAACAATGAAAACGTGTCGGTTTTCGCCACCATTCAGCACATTCAACACTGCCTTATACTTATGCCTAAATATGCTTTAGATTTATCATTTTCTGATCGATCTTTACCGATTTTTCGTTTTTGTTTTCTTTATTTCATTTTTGGTGGTAGTTGTGAAGCATTTGAATTTCCAACGAGGTGGCGCCAAAATAAACTAATCACAAATGCCGGCACACGCATACCAACTACATATAGTTTTATGATTCCAACATATATATATATATATGAATATATATAGATGGGTGTTAAAATTCACAAATTGTCAGCACGAGCTACAAAGTTATCGTTTATCGTTAAGAGACGCTCTATATGTATATGTATGTATGTATATTAAAGAGAGCACAGTTAATTGGCGGTATAAAAAGTTTACATTTTAGTTGAATTTTTCACATTGTTTTGGAAAAAATACATATCCTTAAAATGTTTAATAAATTTATGTATGTATGTGTATATATATACGGATTTATGCATATAGTTTTAATTTTTTCTTTTATGTATATATAGATAGATAGCGCTGTGTTTTATAATTACACGATTTAGCTTATATAAATATGTTTTTGGGCTTTAGTTCTTTAAATATATATACCAATACAAATATATATATTTAAAAAAAAATTGTTACATATTCATTTTGCACAGTCTATTAGATTCTCAATTCATCAAAATTGTTATCAACATACATTTATATCGTATCTAAATTTTAGATTCTTCCATATGCATGGCAATGCATCTTCTTGAATGTTCTGTATGGGCGAGAGGGACAGCGCCAGTACGAGCAAGTGAGAGAGAAATTTTCGAATGTTCGCCGCGTCCCACTGTGCGGCACATTCTCTGTTAGTTAACTAACTGCATCACATTCTCTGTTAGCTAACAGCGATACGCTTTCTGTCAATTATAACAGCGCCACTTTCTCGTTAGTTAACAGCGGCAATCGTTAACAGATGTTAAGGTGCAAAGCAAAATATATAAAAATGAAATCAGCATAGGAAACAATAAATAAAAACACAAAGCAAACAAGTTTTTTTTTTTTTTGTTTCGTCAGAATTGATAAAAAAATCATTTAATTATGTACTTTTGTTACTTTTCTTTTGTGGCGGTTTCTTCATTTTTGTGTAGGTGTTAATTAATGTTTACAACAATTTGTATTTAAAAGGTGTTGTTGTATTGTTAATATTAATTATTATTATTATTTGTGTCCCATTTTGTGTAACATTTAAAAATGTAATAATAAATTTAATAAAAATTTAATAGTAAACATAAAAACAAATAAGCACAAGTCAAATATAGTTTTTCCTCCCCTATTTTTTTTTTCTTTTCTTTGTTTTTGTTTTCTTGTTGTGCAAGTGTTTAAATACGCTATTGAATAATAATAATAAATACAATTAAATATTATGTATATATATATATATTCATATATATATATATATATATATTAGGCCATAATAAATACCGTCAATTAGCAGTTAACAATTTTTAAGTATATAAAAAATTTTCAACAGTTTTTTTTTCATTCAGTTTTGGTGTCAAGTAAAAAGTTCTCACAAGAAATGTACAATACTTTGTTGTTGTTGTTTTTTTGTTTACCATTACATTACAGCTACTCACACACACATACAGAGTTACATATAATATTACAGTACTTGAATTCAATTAGTTTATAGTTTACAACAAGCATTTCATTAATATTAAGAGAGAGAGACACAGACACACACACACACACACACAAACATGTGTGTGTGCATGTCTATGCATGTGTGTCTGTTACATAACCTACATATTTAATAATCTCACTTAACGACAGTTAAGTTCCAAAAATGCAAAATTACAAATTACACAAAAAAATTAAACATTTTTCAAGCATCAAAAACAAGTCAGAAGAAATAATAATGAAACAAAATAATAATTAAATAAATTCTAATAAACAAATATTATATATATATACTTTTTTTTTTTGTTTTGTTTTGTTTTCTATCTTTATATATGTAGAGCTATATATATATAAACTCAAATAAAATTATAAACATTTTTTAAATGCTGTTCCTGTTACTGTTGCGTTTTGTAGTCTCAAAAAGTTCTAATTTAATTAATTAATGCCTGCTGTTTTAATATTATTATTATTATTATTATTATTCGTAACTATTTTATATTTTCCTCTTTCAGCTATTCACAACTCGTTTCTGAACTGTGAATATAATTAATAATAATTGGAACACATAGCAAAGCGCTTAAAATAATTGCAAAATTCAACTCAATATTGGATTTCTTTTTGCGTCTGCTTCTTCTTTCTTTCTAGCAAGATCTGATTTACTTTTCGAGTTTTATTTTGGGGGAATTTTTGAGAAAGTTTCGTTTAGTTGAGATTTTGTTTTACACTTAAGTTTATTCACATATATATATATGCAAATATATATATATATGTATATATGTATAATTGTTAATAGTAATTGTTTATAATAAATCGTTTAAGTCTTCTGCGCTGATTGCCAATTTTTTTTTGTTTATCATTATTCTGGTTTTTTTATTTTTTGAAAATTTAGTTTTAATGCGTAAAACACTATCAACAAATAGTTATTTTAATTTTATAGTAAACTTCACTTTTTATATGTATATTTTGTTTTTTTTTTTTTTATTATTTTAAAATTTTTAACAACGTTTGGAAAATTCTCTTGAGCGTTAAGCGAAATGCTTTAAACAAATATTAAAACATATATATAAATAAATTAAATTGATCATGCACAATATATATATATATACTTATATACTTATATATATATATATATATAGAGTCTTTCTGCCGGTCAATTTAGAACAAGAATAATTTGTAGCTATTTTAGTTTTTACTTTTTTTTTGTGTTTTATAAATTAAGCAGCGGCAAATTTGTTGTGTTTTTTTGAAACATAAATTATGATTATTGTTTTGTTGGTTGTTGTTCTTTATGTTGTAATAATAATAAAAATAAAACAATCAAACATAAAAACTAAGCGAGTATAAAAATGTTTTGTGTTGTTGTTGTTAAAAAAGTAGCAAACATTTTATAATAGCTTTAATAATAATAATAATAATAATATAATAATATAATAATAATAATAATAATAATAGGTATAAGTAGTAATAATAATAATAAAGATACACGTATGCATATAAATAATCAGTAATCAATAAATTTACAATCAAAAAATAATTTATAAACATAAAAAACAGTTCAATATATATATTTTTATATCAAAATTTTTGTTGTCTCTTTTTCATTTTGTTGTGTTTGTTTGTTTGTTGTTGTTTATATGTGTTCAAAAATAATAACAAAACAGTTTTTGCGCTTTACTTAAGATTACAATTAATAAAAAATATTTGTTTCAATGCTCGAACGATTTATTTGTCCATTGTTGAAGCATTTCATTAAAAACTATTTTCTTTTTTTGTTTGCTTTCGTATTTTTTTTTAAGTTTTTAGTTTAGTTTAGTTTTTTTTTTTTTTTATTTGTTTGATGAGCGAACATAAATAAAAGTGGAGGGATTTGCTTTCTGGTTTTTCTTCTTTTTTTTTTTGTGTATTATTTATATATATATATATAATAAAGAGACTTGCAACTGCCGCGGGGGCGTGTGGCACGGCAAAGGCGCCATTCGAGTTGTTGTTGTCGATTTTTTTTCTTTGTGTGAACAAATTAAACAAAAAATAAGTAATACACAAATAAAAAAAATATATATAAAATAAAAAAAACATTAAGTCTTAACACAGTGTAAAAATAAAACAAAATTCAACAATAATTTAAAAAGTTAATAATATAAATGTAAGTTTCTATAATATATAAAAGAGAGACAGAGAGAGATAGAGTCCTTGCTATGCTATGCTATGCTATGAGAAACAGGCAGATAGACAGAGACAGAGAGTCAAATAGATAGAAAGAGAGGGGGGGGATAGAGAGCGCGCAAGTCAGAATTGCCAACTTGTTTATTAATGATTCACAGATCAAATATTTCTGATCTGATCATTGATATATGTTTATATATAATTTTTTTTGTTTTTTTGTTTTTTCATTTGCTTGTTCTTTTCTCTTTTTTCAATGTCTGTGTGTGAAGAAGGCTCTCTGCTTACATACCCACAGGCGCCAGCTGTACGTAGCGATAGATATAGAGGCGATAGTCCTTGCTGGCCAGGACAACGCTGCCATCGTCCATGAGCGCCACATCGAAGCACTGGGCATGCTTCACCTTCGACTCCAGCGCCGAGATCAGCTGCCCGTCCTGTGTGAAGATCGTCAAATTGAAATTGTTGTGATTGTCCGCAATGAGAATTTCGCCATTGGAATTGATGCCGACGCCGATGGGATAGTTGGTGATGCCCTCACCGCCAATCTGGCGCAGATATTGGCCCTCATAGTTGAACACCTTGACGCAGTGCGCCCGATTGTCGCTAATGAAGATCTCCTGCTTGTCGTTGACCACCACGCCGTTGGGGAACTCCAGATGCTTGGAGCACCCGAACTTGTGCAGCACATTCCCGTTCTGATCAAAGATAATGACGCGCATCACCTTGCACTCGACCACAATGATGCGTCCCTTGTTGTCGACGGTGACGCCGCGCGGATGCTGCAGGATCGTGGCCCCAAATTTACGCACAAACTGTCCATACTGGTTGTAGATCTGGATCTGGTGCGTCGGCGAACGCTCGGTCACAATAATGTCGCCCGAGTTGCGCACGACGGCCACACGGTTCGGGTAGAGCAGCTGCGAGTCGCGCTTGCCGCACTCGCCAAACTGGAACTTGAAGCGTCCCTCCTTGTCAAAGATCTGGATGCGATGATTGTTCGTGTCTGCCACGATGATATCGTTCTGGGCATTCACCGCCACGCCGCTCGGCTCCGTGAACTGGCCCTCCATCACGCCGAACTCCCCGAACTTGCAGTGATAGATCATTTTCTGGCGCTTGATCTGCGACTTGGGCGGATAAATGGAGGCGGACAACAGCTTGCTGGTCAGATCCAGCAGAGATTCGCTGCTCACCGCGCTGCCATTGCCATTGCCATTCAGATTCACCGACGACAGACTGGCAAAGGCGTCCACCACAGCCGAGCTGCTGCCGCTGCCGGCGCTGCCGACGCCGCCAAGCGTGGCGACTGCTGATGTGCTGAAGAGATTGTCGCTGCCGCCATTGCTCCACTTCTCGTAGGGATTGTAGTGCGCCATGCTGCTAGCGCGCTTGGGCAGCAGCTCGCCAAAGTGCTGCAGATCGCTCAGATTGCGTTCGCGTCCGCCCAGCAGGAGGCCATGCGCATAGACGCTGCCGCCGTTGCTGCTGCTGCCGTTGCTGCTGTTGTCGAGCAGACTACCCAGGCCCAGGCCTGGCAGCAACTGTTGCTGCTGCAGCTGCAGATGTTGCTGCTGCTGCTGTTGCTGCTGCTGTTGGTGGTGATGATGGCTGCCCGCGCTGCTGGCGCTGCTGTTGCTCGCGCTCTGCGTGGGCCGTGCAATCGGCGGCTGCTTGCCGTGACTCTGGCCGTGACTGTGAGCGTGACTGTGACTGTGACTCTGGCTGTGACCCAGGTGACTATGACTGTGACCCAGACTGAGGCTCGACTCGGAGCAGCTGCCACTGCCAGGCCCACCGCCATTGCTGGCCCGTATATAGCCAAAGGTGTTGCGCACGCCCGCCTGTATCGACTGGTAGTTGGACATGAACTCCAGCTCGAAGGGCAGCTGCATGTCCTGGACGCCCGCCTGGAGCTGCTGCTCCAGCTGCTTGCGCAGCAGCAGCGCCTCGGCCAGCAACGGCGACTGGACGCAGTTGGCGGGCGAGCGCTCGACCGCATCGCAGGTAGCCAAACCCTTGTCAATGATCTCCTTGGCGCGCTGCAGCCAGACCGCATTGGTGTTCATGCGGGCCGTGTAGAGCGTCTCCAGCTCCTTGAGCAGCTCGCTCTTGCGCTCATCCAGCATCGAGGCAAAGAACTGATGCGTCTCGTTCAGTTCGTTGTGCGCCTTCTGGTACTGCTGCTTGACCTTGGTCACGCTCTGCTCGGCGCTGCTGGCCACCGACACGATCTCGCCAATCTTGCCGCGCATATCGGCTAGCAGCGTCTGCAGCGCCGTTTCATTGTAGCCGCCGCTGCTCGAGGTGCTGCTGCTGCTGTTGGTGCTGTTGCAGTTGGCGTTTCCATTGCCGTTGCTCGTTGCGGCCACAGCGGGCGATTGCACATTCTCGAGCTCATGCAGGCCCGTCGAGTGCTCCAGGACGATGCACTCCTTGCACACCAGCGTGCAGCAGGTGCGGCAGCTGAACTTCAGCAGCTCGTGCTTGTGACGCAGGCAGAAGATCTGTAGCTGCTGCTGTTGCAAGTGTGTGGAGTAGAGTGTCTCATGCTGCTGCTGCTGCTGCTGCTGCTGCTGCTCCTGTGAGTTGTTGGCTGCTGCGGCTGCTGCGAGCACAATCTTCGACAGCTGCGACATGGGCTGCGCATCTGTCAGCTGTACCTGCTGCTGCTGCTGCTGTTGTTGCTGTTGCTGCTGCTGCTGCAGCATCATTGTCAGTGAACTGGCGTACTTGAAGTCGCTGGAGGCTGGATTGTTGCTGCCGTTGCTGCTGCCGTTGCTCGTCGCCTCGAAGCCCTTGATCAGGCAGACGTTGTGGCCGTTGAAGCAGTGCATAAACTCGTGCGCGGTCACGCAGTTGGCGCACAGATAGCTCTGGCAGTCGAAGCATTTGGCCACAGCATCGCTGCACTTGCTCTTGCAGGCGGTGCAGCGCGCGGGGGCGAGGCTGTTGTTGCTGTTGCCACTGTTGCTGCTGTTGCTGCCATTGCTGCCACTGTTGCTGTTGCTGCCTTTGCCAGCGCCAACGACCAAGCTGCTGATGCTGTTGTTGTTGCTGTTGCTATTGCTGCTGGGCAAATTGCTGCCAATGACGCCGGGACCGTGGCCATTGCTGTTGCTATTGCTATTGCTGTTGCTGTTGCTGTTGCTGTTGACATTGGAGCCGCTGAGGACGCTGCTGCTGGTGCTGCCGCAGCCGCTGAGGCCGCTGGTCGATGAGCTGGACGACGACGAGGACGACGACGACGAGGAGGAGCAGGATGAGGAGCTGGCCGACGAGCTAGACGACACCGATGCCGATATCGGATGATGCCCATTGATGACAGTCACATCCTGGCGCACCTTCACGCTGACCTGACTTCCAGCTATATACTCATCGCTGCAGATCGCCGAATCGCTCACGGGCGGCGACGACCCGCTCAGTGTCAGCGGCGAGTCCGACAGGTAGCCGGCGTGCTCATATGATTCAATCGAGTTCGCTCCGCGCATGGAGTCCAGCGACGGAGTCGGCGAAGCCGCCATCGTTCTGTGTGTGGGAATGGGTGTCTTGAATGTCTCCTCCTCTCCTTCTGCTGTCGCTGCTGCTACTGCTACTCGATTCACTACTATTCAGTTGTCCACAGTGTCTCCCTCTCTGGCTGCCACTGGACACACCTGCAAGTTGAGAACGTTAAAAAATAACCATAAGTAAAACTTTTTATTGTTATTTTCATTATATAAATTTATTTTTATTTTACAATTTATCCACATATTTTTTACGTGTTTCATCAAATAGAAGGCTTAAAATTCCTTTGTAAATGAAGCCAACTAGCTACATTGAAATCCAAAAAATAATAAATACAACAAAAATAAATAAAATAAAAAATTATATAAGAAAAAAATATAAAATAAAAAAATAAAATAAAGAGAACAAATAAATAAAAATAATAAAAAATAAAACAAATAGAAATTTTAAAAAATAAGTATATGAATAAAAAATAAATAATAAAATTTAAATTAAATAAATAACAGATAAATAAAAGACTACATTAATTAAATATTCTTGATTTCTAAGTGAAGCCCCTTAAGAAAATTTCAATATTTAGTCCATAAAATATTTAATTACAGAAAAAAAGCAATAGATCGACTGTATTGACTGATATAAATTACACTTTATAGACCCGAGCTAGAAATAAAACTATTTTAAAGGCGAAATTCCCACATTGCCTTCAGTTCATTTAAATAATTACATTGAGAGCATTCCGAGCTCTATGTATATCCTTTCCATAATTACATTTATAGCACACAGGGAAACACTCAAAAGATAAAATGACATTTTATATATCTAAACTAAATATAAATAATTTAACATGCAAGTCCCACCCTAAAACTTTTGTTTCTAAACGATTTGCAGATAAAAAAAAAAAAAAAAAAAAAATGATGGCCCAAACAAAGCGAGAACTTAGTTGGGATTTAGTAGGCAATAGCTTAAGTGCCTTGACCCAACTACAACTTGACACAACTCAACTAGAGGCCAACCCTTCTCCCACCATAACTGTCGTTATTCCTTTGTTTTCATAGCACCCTTTGTGTGAGTCAGCAAAAGTTTTGCAGACCTTTTGCGCCCCCTTTAACAAAAAAATTATGATTCACCTTCTTTTCGTAACATAATTTGTAGCTAATTGTCCCTCGGTAATCCCCTACCGGGCTACCAGACTACACCCTCCCCTCACACTCACACACACCCACACGCATAGAAAACGAAGCGACTTTACTACATTTGGCAAATGGCAACAAAGTGCTTTTTAACGCAATTCGAGGCTGTACGAGGGAGGCGTCCCTCTTGTCATTCGTCGTCCTGGAAACCCCCAACTCACACTTTGCCCTCCTTCAACTTTAGCCGTCAACAGGAAATGCAATAAGCGCACGCACAAGGGGGCGCTTGAACTACTTGCTGCCGGCTAAGAGGGTGCACAACCCCTCTAAGCAAAACAAAGAGTAGAAAAAAAAATAACAACAAAAAAGTAAACAAGCGGCGGCGGCAAACGAATAAGGAACTTTTCTAGATATTCATTTCCAGCGTCACACACACACACACACACACACACAAACGCGTCCACAAAACATCCGTCAACAAAAGCCACACTCGAAGAAGTTGGGAAGTGAAAGCAAAACGGCAAACCGAAACCGAAACGAAATGGAACGAAAATCAACCCTCGAAGAGGCGCCCAGTGAAGCGGCAAAGCAACAAAACGCGCGCTCCCCAAATAATAACGGCAGTTTGCTCATGGACTGCGCCACTGTGAGCGGGGGTTGGGTGGGTGTAACTGTCTAGACTGAATGTATGTGCACATTTATCACGCACACACACACACAGAGAGAGAGAGTGAGACACACGCACACGCACGCACGCACACGGACAGAGCCTGTGCAAGAGGCATTGACTTACCGTTTTAAGTTGTATTTTTTGCTCGTCTCCGTTATTTGATGTTCTGATTTGTTTTTGTATTTTCCTTCGTTTTTTTTGCATTCGCTTTTAATGCAGTCAAAAATTTAATGCCAATATGGTCCTTATTATTATTATTATTGTTGTTGTTGTTGCTTTGTTTCCATTTGTTACTTCCGCTCGATTGTTGTTCCTGTCGTCTATTAGTTTTGTTTCATACTTTACGGGTGCTGCCAATTTCAGTTGCCAATTATGAATTGCGTCGCGCGCACAAAATGCTGCAATGGAAAAGCGAACAGAAAAAAAAACACGTTTAACTATTTGTTCGAATTTGTATTTTTATAGATTTTCGTTTTTTTCTTTCTTTTTTTTTTCTTATATATATCATTTCTTTATTATGATCATTGCCTATGCACTTTTCACAGTTGTAGTCCCTGGTAACAACAAGACGGAGCCGTAGTAAATGAAAACGCGACGCGCTTGCGACGCAGCTCCCTGCAAAACTAACTTTGCGCATTATTCAGCGACCCGGGTAAAGCTGCCACCAGGAGCAGCAACAGCAGGAACTGCGAAGTCGAAGTCGACGTCGACAGCGACAGCGACAACGACTGCGCTGCTACTGCAGAGAGTGCCTCTGCATGTCCTGTAGGCAAACGGACGAGCAGGCAGAAAAACAACAACAGCAGCAGCAGCGCAGCAGCAGAGCAGCATCAGCAAATGCATCGCTGCACATTGCTGTGGGCTGCATAAAACAAAATTATTCCCAATTACCAGCCGAAACAAAACACACACACACACAAGCAGAGTTGGGAAAAATCAATATTCATATTTACAGTGCGCGCACACGGAAAGACAAGCAAACACACAGGCACACGGCAACAAGCGCCTTTGGCTTATGCATATGTGTGAGAGCGAGAGATTCAAAGAGAGACGGCAGCATAAATGCCGAACTGTTGAATGCCGGCCCAACCGGTCAAAAAAAAAAAAAAAAAAAAAAAACTAAATTGTACAGCCAGCCAGCCAGCCCCCGCCGAGCGCACGGACAAAACAGAGCAACCCTTAAAACAATATGGCGTCGGGCAGTCACCCACTCAGACCACCAACTAAAAGCAACAATTTTCCATGGCCGAACCTGAAGACAGCGGCGCTGCGCTACAGGTTGCGTGCTCAGAGAGTGAATTGTAACAGGAAGCAACAGCGAACGATAAACCGATAACACGGCACACACTCTCTCACTCTGCCTCTCTTTTTCACTCTCTGTGTGTCTGTCTGCCTCTCGCACTTTGCAGCCTTGCGCATGTTTTCCAATTTTGGGCAATGACAACGACCGCACCAAAATACAATAACAATGACAACAAACTGCGTTCTCAGTTGCTGCTGCTTCTTCTTCTTCTTCTAATGCTGAGTGGGCGAGAGCATACTTTTTCGCCTATGCTGCCGGCGGCGCCACCAGAACTTTCGCGTCGAATTCGAGCAACTCGCCTTGCCAGGCGATTGCAGCAGTCTAACTGCAAAAATAAAAGTGGAGAGAGAGAGAGAGGGAGAGAGTGAGAAGTTCGTCTTCCCTTTTGCATGTTGTTTGTTCTTTTTGTTGTCACAGTGCATGGAAAATGCTAGCAATGACGCGCAGACAGCAGATACCAGAGGAATTGCATACAGCATACAAACATATGTATGTATGTGAGCAGATATGTACATATATTTTTGTATGTATGTATGTGCATATTTGGGTATGTAAGTATGTGTGAATGAATTTATGCAAGTGCATAGCACGTAGACAAAATAGCCAGACGCTTCTTACACTTGTGCATACACATACATACATAAATATGTATGTATGCAGCGAATATTCACATGTATACACATATGTATTACATATACAAACATATATATGTATGTTATTAAGCATCGAGCAGCCTTTTTGACAGTGTTGCCAACTGTTGCAATTAAAGTTCACATGAATAATTGGCAGCATGCACACATACATATATACATATGAGGATACACATATGTACACAACATATTCACATATTTTTTGCAATGTTGCATTTAAAATTCCATAAGTTTAAGATTGTTTTCTAAAATTATGCACTTTCAGTAAAAATCGGAGTATTTCCATGTACAGTAGTCGATCACTAGAACAGTTCTGCTCTCATTAAATGTTTCTTTTCACTTAAAACTAAATATTATGTTTATTTATCAGTTCCAATAACAGGTAATGAATGCCATTGATCGCGCATTCATATAAAAATACAGTTCTGACTCAATACATAGATTTTCATAGCCGAGCAATTTCAACAGGTTGGTTAATAATTAACTTATTGCGTGACACTTTAGAGGCAACAATAAATATTTTAGCGGTAGTTGTTATTTAGACGCCTATGACAGCAACATATCCAAAATAAAAAAAATTATATATATATATATATATATATTTTTTTTTATAAACCGTTGTACTAAATTACCAATTGATAATACGACCCGAGTGATTAGATTAGCAAATCAGGTCTGCATGGGTTGTACAGGTTGATAATGTCGTGTCATATATGTATGCATGTTCATATGGACTCGACACAGATAGTTAAATCGTATATTATCATGAAAGAAAGCGAAAGACAGAGACAGAGGCAGAGAATGGGACAGAGACAGAACGCGAGAGAGGGTCGAGCTTTATGGCTATGCCATATGTTGGCTCTTCGAACGGTTGATGGGAAACATGTACAAAACGAATTCCACAGGGCCTGTAAAAGCATTTAAAAATAGGAGCTAATATAAAATAATAATAACCAGGCAGTCAGAGTGATGGGCTGGCAATACACTGCACTGCACTGCACTGCACTGCATTGCTCTGCGCTGAGGGCGTGCGTTTGGGTCATTAAGTTCAACGACTAGATGAATGTGTGGGAGGAATGGGGGGCATGATCTGCGCAGTGTTTGACGTGTAGAATAGGAACAGAAACTGCGCAGCCATTACTAATGCAAAACAATTTGTAAGATTATTAATTTCATGGCTGAAAAGTGTGTGCAGAGAAACAGACGGAAGCAAAGTACAGCAAGAAGAGCCGAATGATGAAGAAGCAGAATAAGCAGAAGTAGACGAGATGAGCAGCGAGCAAAAAAGAAATAATATCAAGTTCAGGGCAGGCAGACAGGCAGGCAGGAACAAATGGGATGGGGTAGCTGCAAACAACAGTGGAATGCGAGACAGAGACCATAAATTTTGCCAACAATATAAAGCGTAACGGCCAAAAGAAGTTCTGCGCAAAATACCAAAATGTAAAAATGCATTTAGAGTTTGTTTCGTTTTCACACACACACACATGGAGAGAGCGAAACAATTACGCTGCATTACAAACAAACGTTTCAATTCGTATCGTTCCCTTCTGTCCATTGGGGTTGCAGCAGCAGAGTCGGCAGCAGCAGCAACGACAGCAGAGTTCAATGGTACCCAGAGGCAACAACCACAACAAAGCCAAAGAGCATGACACAGACGCGCAAAAAATAGAAGCCCAGCACAAAGCGCAAACTGTAAAACAGAACAAAGCATGCGAAATTTGCGACCACGACGACGAAACCGTTTACCTGCGCCATCGTTTCTAAACGGGCTGCAGCTGCAGATACACATACACCTAAATATGCGAACTTACTGTATACTGTATGTATATGTGTGAATGTATATATGCATGTGTATTTGTGAATGTTCCTAGAGTCATGGACGTGGCCATCGACAAAAGGTGCCGCCTCTGCTAGCAGCGTGCCTGGATAGAGATGGCGATGGCGAGCGCCGTGCACGACCCGCGTCTGATGCAAATTTTTATTGTTTTTTTTTTTTTTCAGTCGAAGCAAATCCAATTCGCTGAATTCAAAGACATTGTCAGCGTCTTGGCTACTCCTTGGCTGCCCCCCTTTTCACAACAACTCAGATGTCGCGAGCTATGCGTCAGCAGCATGCGACCCCCAAAGTAGTGGCAGCGACGGTAGCGACGGCAGCAGCAGCTGCTGAATGAAATTCATTCGACGACGGCGTATTTTATTGAACAAGAAGACAATGGCAAACGACCCCCCCACACACACAAGGGAGTTGTTTTATTGTTGTAGGAGACGACAGCGACACAAGCGACTAAGAATGAAAGAATGGCAGACAACAAGAACGAAATAACAGCAACAACAGCAATAATGGCAGCATCCAATTTAGCAGACAACGCAGCCACAACACAGTCGCAGTCGCAGACACTCCACGAACTCTACCATCACCAATTCTTATTATCTCCTCACTATCCTCCCACCCTCTCTTTCACTCACACTCTCCCTCAGTATAGCTGTCTTTTTCCTCTTGTGGCTGCATCAGTAGCTGGTCTGTTTTGCGCTTCTCCTTGCAGTCTGCTGTTTCGTCAGGTCAACGTCGTGCGAGCACTGCATTTCAAATACCCTGTACTTTAAATTGAGCAGCTTGTTTAGCTTATGTGTTGTGGGCGGGATACACCTGGTCTGATCAAATTAGATCAAATTTTAGACAATAAATTATTGACTTTTATGATGTACATTAATTGTTATTATTTACCACTTTACATATACATATACAATATTTTTACATATACACTATTTGCATGGTATCTCACTGCTTGCAATCATTTGCATGTTTTCATTCTTTTTCACTCGTTTTGCATTACGTTTGCTTTCTTACTGCGCTCTGTAGTGTCTGTGGCTCGTGAGCTCGGCCGTCGGCTGTGACTCTCCTGTTAATGGTAATGGAGTTAAATGTGCTTGTTGTCCTACTGTTTACAGTGGCGTGCTTGCACATTGTGCCCGCTCAATTGCAATGTGCTTTATAGACACACACACACACAAGTACAGTGGCGTACATTTCAGTGCTCGCAGATTCACAAATTGATGTAACCGAAAAGATCTTGTTTCATATCTGTAGCACCGTTCAGTTGCAGCTCTTTATAGCATCGCTGCAGCCAATGCATCCAATCAAATGGTACGTGTCTGTTGGTACGTTTACGTGTAAGCTTTTGATAAATATTTACTATCTACTTTAACATTTCCAATTAGAGTTGTACCACTTTTCGCTGTGTGTACACTGGCATATAGTACAGTGTGTATATATCTATATACATATATACATATGTATGTATATATTGTGTGTTGTATCATATTCTTTATCTATTACGTGGAACTCGTACCCCCCAACGAGGCAACTAAACAACAAGCGCAACTTTTTTGATAATGAAAATATAAGAAATTGGTACACAAAGATTGAAATTGGAACGGAAAGTGTTGCACAGCTATACAATGTTTAAAAAAAATTTTTTTGTATGTATACATATGTATGTATTCAATACATATAAATATCTTAAGCATGTGACGATAGAGTATATAAATGTATGTACAAACTTGTATATATTAGATATTATTTACATACACATTTGAATTGCGTTTTTTAGATCACTGTAGAATATCGTATGGAATGCGAGTGTACGATGCTAGATGCTATTGTAGCCATAGGGCGACACCTTATTCGATCAGACAAAAAGCGATATGAAGCGTGAAGCAGCCCACATGGAATACAATATCTAAATAAACACATTTTAAACACGAGTTTCGATTTTTGCTCAACGTAAATAAAGAGCGCACACATATGTACATACATTCACAAACGCAATCTTTTAATGACTTGGAAACCAGCGTGGCTCACACGTCGTCAATCAGTCAGTTCGTCACTCAGCCGGTCTGTCCGTCAGTCCAGGCGGGTGTGTGAGTAAAATTAAAGAACACTGCCGTAATAATTTGATTTTAAAATATATACAAAAGGAAAAGGAAAAAAATTATAAAAGAGATTGTAAGAGAGAGAGAGAGAGAAACGAGTCGACTCATGTTATTCTTCCGCATCGACAGTGGTGGCAATGCCCAAGAACAGTTGAAAATCTTGATCATTGTTTATACAGTTGCGGCCAAACAAGCAGGCGCAGCGCAAGGTCGCGCCCCTCGTAAAGGTTGTCGCACCTTTCGCCATCTGTCCATCTGATTATTTTAGAGTGGTGCAAGGTGGAAATTGAAAAACTTAAACTCAAGCTTCTGTTTACTTATTTAATTAATCGCATGACTTGGAAGTAATTAATCCGTGAACTCCGATAAGAGGCCCTTGGAGAAATTAACGTAAAACGTAATCCACAAGGGCGAAATTTACTAGTTCCGAAAACTTTTAATCAAAAGCACATTAAATTCAAAGAATATTGATGACATTTTTTATTACTAGTTAATTTGTGAATATATCAAAATTTAATCATTCTTGAATATTGTATTTACGCTTAGCTCTTAAAATCACTCTATCATCATTCTATAAATATATATGTATGTATATAAGTAGGTTTTTAAACCTCGTCACATGTCAAAACTTGTTTATCTTTGGCTACCACATACTAGCCTTTAGGCACTGACTAATTTATACACTGGGCCTTAACATACAGATGCGACTGTAGGCAGGCCGTCAAACAGCGGCATAAAAGATACAAGACAACAATATGAAATGAGATAATAATAACAAAAATATGTGTAAACGCTAATACAAACAACACAAAAAGCGCGGAAAAAGAACAAACACACGAAGCGAACCAACATCTAAATATTGTTGCTGCCGTTGCCGTTGCTGTTGTTGTTGTTGACTGCATTGCGCCGTATCCGTATTCCAACAACAAACAAATACATACATAGCGCGAGTAAGTGAAGCGGTATACACTCGTAGACAAATGAGACGTAAAAGGAGAGCAGGAAAAAGGCAGCACAGCAACATATACATATGCATGCATATAAATATATATACATCTATATACACAAACACACGCACATATATCTATGTACATGCACACACCAACAAACGAGACAGCCACGCACTCACGTACCACGTACTCAGCGCGCCGATTCTAAACAAGTTGATGAACTCTACGACGCCGACGCTGCTCTGCCGCTGCTGCTGCGGTTGCTATTGCTATTGCTGCTTGTGTTGGCGTCGTATGGCGTGTGTAGAGAGGAACAGGAAAAACTGTTTTCATACGTACAGAAAAGACAAGCGTGCGGCGCTGCACTTTTATTTATTTATTACACTATTATTAATACTTTTTTTTATTGCTGTTTTGCTTTACAAACTCACACACATACATATATGCATATACATACATTGAAATGTGCAACAACCGTTGGTAAAAACGAACAACACAGCGCGACGGTTGATGATGGACGAGACGACAACGGACACAACGATGACGAAGACGTTGCTTGCGTGCACACGTTGTTTATGCGGCAAGCGCAAAGAACTGAATGAGAATGGGCAAACACATAGAAGAATTTTACAAGATTCGAGCGAAGGCACGAAACAGTCGGCACGAAATGAAATACAACGAAACGAAACGGAACGAAACGCAACAGCACCAAGCCAAAAAACTCACACAACCAGTTCGGCGCGCACAAAACAGAGACAAAGAACGCAGCTCTGGCGAGCAGCAAGCAGAAAGCAGCATGGTAGCAAAATCTAGTTTGGGGTCCCACAACGCAGCACAAAATGCTCGATGCGCAACGAAATGGCATATGGAACGTATGTACATGTGGAATGTATTGTACATAGGCCAGAAGCGACTGCGATGCCAGCGATGAGACTGACCTCTGACAACCTCCTACACACACACATACCCACGCACACTCATACACGCACACAACGAGAACAGTGACAGAAGTACGAGAGTAAGAAACAGGCAGAACAAACATAAATTGCAAGGAGAGAGCAGTGTACTCCATTGCGGCAGGAAGTTTATGTGAATATGTCTGCATGTACATATATATAAAGAGTAAGAGAGAGGAAACAAGAGTAAACGAGTTGCAACGGCAGTAAAAAGAAAACGAATTCTGAAGAATTGCTTTATTCGTTTAACAATAACAAACATATTTGAGCAAACACATGTGTGTAGGCATAAATTGTGCACACTAATTGTTATTCTTATTGCTCAATATTGTCATATCATATCACTGATTGACAGTGCTACCACTCTCTGGATAAGAATGGCAAAAGCGAAGAGGTAGAGGATAATTTGCGGCTGATTTGCTGCTTCATTTAAATATGCTATTTGTTGATGCCATCTAGATAATACATACAACTTTTTATAGTTAAATCTACAGCTACAACAACAGCTATAATAATAATAATAATTATAAATAAATCAATCAGGTATACCACATATACATATGTGCATATACAAATGTACATGCTAGTTTCTACGCGCTGATGCAATAGGAAAAATGTAAAAGTCTGCGCAGCAGCAGCGGACGTCGACGCTTGCGTCATGTGCGTTAAGCAAACTTAAGAATAGCGCGCAGCGCAGCAGCAGCAGCAGCCGCAGCGCGCACAATAAACCAGTCTAGAAACAAGCGCGCGCTTGGCTTCAATACACGCACACACACACAGTGAAACACACTCGGCACGTATATAATTATGCTGTGAGTGTGTGTGTCTATGTGTTCGTTCGCTGGCAACTATAAGGGCCTTAAACTTTGTTAAAAGTCAAGGTCAGTGATTTCTTGTGCGCTTTGGCCAACGTTGCCAACTTTGATTGAGTCTGCGCTGCGTGCGTACATACATACATGCACACATATAAATATGCAACTGTGTTTCAATGCGTGCGTGTGTGAGTGTGTGTCTGGTGCTCGTTGTGTGACTCACGCAGGAGGTGGCAACGCCGCTGTCGTTGCCAACCAGGGGCGTGGAGCGGCAACGGACAAAGGCTGCTTGCTGCGCGCGTCTGCTTTATTTGTTGAGCCCTCTGTCTGTCTCTCTGTTTGGTTTCTGAGAATTATGGGTTCAAGTGTTATAGGTATATATGTTTGTGTTTGTGTGTCTGTGTCTGTGTGTGTTTGTAGCACAGGAAACAAGTGGAAAATGGCACACGGCATCTGAACGTCTTATTTCAGTTGCTTTGAGCTTAAGCCTCTGTGATCGATCTGCCTGCGCCGACGACTGTCCTTGCAAGCGGTTCATGAACCCTCAATGACGAACGATACATCGAACGTGCCAAAGAAGCAAGCAACAAAAAAAAAAAAAAAAAAGGGGCGAGGCGAGGCTCAGCAACGAAGCAACGACGACGGCGTCGGCAGCAGCAGCCGTAGCATCAACGAAGGCGCAAAAAAGAGCGTCAAGTATTTACATACATATATTGGCAAATACATAATTACAAAATATAGAACCTACATTAAAAAAACAAAAACCATAGGCTGCTAAGCTGGACTGACGTTGCATTCTTAGCATTAGTCAGCCCTAACCTCAAAACAGTTTTATTGCCGTATTGACTGACAATTCAATCGAACGCGCGCGCTCATTAAACACACAGTCAGCCAATTAAATACCGGCTCTGGAGAGAGAGAGGGAGCACGATGCATGCAGAAGGGGCCCTTTTAGCAGCTGTCATGCTCGCCGCTAGCAGCCAGATGTTTGCTGCGAGGCGAGCGAGGGTAACCCAACCCAAAAACTATAAAAACAACAAAAATGCAGGCCATATACACACACATATAGTCATTTTCACTCAGTTATACATTATCACATGCATACACACATACATACATTTATGTGCGTTTGTTATGGCTTTTTCAATAATTTTTGGAGAAAAAAAAATACAGTGACACTTGAAACCGGAAATTAGGCAGCTTGTACCCGAAAAATGAATGCAGCTGTCGAGCGTTAACTCTGCCGCTCTCTTGCTCTCTTCTACACTCCTTCTTCCTTTTACTCTCAGGTGTGCGTGTGCTGTGTGTGTGTGAAGTGGCTGTGTGTGCACGGCTTGCCTGGCGAGGGCATACGAAGAGAGCGAATGCGTTCGCTCTCTTGCAAAGGCCACTTAATAGCCGGAAGTATGAGGGAATAAAAAAGCTCAAGGGAGCGACTTGTGATCGATGGCTTAAATTCTTTTTACAGTTTACAAACGAGTGTAATGCTTATTTATGTTCGCTTTCCGCTTGATTACGCAATTCACTAATAACTGTGAGTGTTTCATGTATTTACCTACAGCTGTTAAATGCGACGGGACAGACAAATAGCAGCCCTCCTCCTGGTGCATGTGGACTCACTCTCTCTTTGTTGCTCTCACTAGATCAGGCCTGGTTATCACTCTCTGAGAGACAAAATGTTTTTACCTGTAATGAGACACATAAAAAAGAAGAGAAAGATTATGTATAAATTTGATATGTTGGTGGTTTATTGTCTTAAAGTTTCTAGAATTCGATTCGATATTTTATACCCTGCACATGCCACAACATTGACCGAATTCGAGAGATCTTCTCAATTTTCAACGCCCACGATATCTTCTTACATTACGCCTAATTATAACATTTCTTTCAAAAGCGTTGCAGTCCCTCACTCATTTTCTTCTTGTTCTTCTTGTCTTTGGCCTTGGGCTGACCCCAAAATTCGCGCTAAATTTGAGTTCAAAAGCTGCAGGAAATTTCAATCAGCCACTCGATCTAAATTTCTGCGGGTCTCTCGAAATGTCTGAAGTCTAAAGTCTGAGGCCCAGCTTGAGCTCGAGCGTTTCTGGCGTTCCCAGAAATTGTTGCGAAAATTGTTTAAGGTCTCCGAAAGCAAGAAACAACTGACCAAATAAGCAGCAGCAGCAGCAGCAGCAACAACAACAACAGTAATAATAATAATATAAAAGAGCACAAAGCAGAATAGAAACCAGTGGTAAAATGACATTAGTTGGGGACAAGCGCACAGCGAAACATACATAATACAAATAAATACGTTAACAAAACAAAAGTCAACGAACGGCTAAAAATTCACGAACTTGAAAAAAGTGGCAACATGGACGCAGACGCTGACGCAGACGCCGGCTGCGATGTCAATAAACCAACTAACCGTCGACCTGCGTCGACGTCGCCGTCGCCGTTGTCGTTGCTTTTAGTGCGTGTGGAGCGCTTAGAGAGGGTCGCCCATGAATAGCTAAACGGCAACAAGAACAATAACAACAATCAAAAGCCCAAAAGCAGTTAAATTTATAAACTTGTTGCTCTCGCACAATCATACAAAAACAAAACACAAGCAACAGCATAAACAATAAATTACAAACACGAGCTTTTTGTGAGCAGGAACGCACCGTCAGCCCGCCAGCCCGCCAGCCCGCCCGGTTGACACCTCTAGAATAATATGGGTTTTGGGTACCACAAATTACAAGTGTACCAATGCTTCATGTGAAAATACATACATACATATGCATATGTATAAGTTTTGAGTGTCAATTTAATTATAAATCATTTAATATAGTTTATTACTTTCTTTAAATAGAAAAATACTATTTTTTGTTTACCTGAAATTACAAACTTCATTTTGTGCCATTTTATTTACCATTTATATACAAGCTTTTAATGGCAATTAATATACATCAATTTGAATATTAATATAAGAGTTTTTAATATTATCATTAAATATCGTGGAATTAAATGTGTCAGAAAAAATTACAGGAGTACCAAAGTTGAATTTTTAAATAAGTTTTTGGTGCCAGTTTAATTATTAATCATTTGTTGGAAAGGTTTTAAATAGTTTTAAATAAATATGTAAATATTTAATAAAAGTGTATCAAATTTTTGTTTTTAAATATAACTATTTCAATGGAATATTACGTATTTATCACTTTATTTCGCATAAATTTAAAATGCTTAGAATTAATTAGAATAATAATTTTTTTTTTTTTTTTTTTTTTTTTTTTTTTTATTTTTACCATACATGTATGTACAAATGTGTACCATAACACTATTTATGTAAAATTTAGATTTAGTATACCATTCGTATTTAAAACTTTAATGACAAATTTATCATTAATCATTTGCCATCACATAAATATAAAAAAAATTTTGTATTAATTTCATCGAATTGCTAATTTAAGCTCGGTACATTTCTACTACATTTGCCGCATTGCCATCGCCAACGTGTAGTGGGGTGATTAACGTCCTGTGGTGAAATACGCTCAGCTTAAATCGGAAGTCGCGTTCGCACGCTCACTCCCGTTCTCACTCTCTGGCTCTCTCGCTCTGTCTCTTGCGCTCTTTTCTATCTACTTGTTCGCAGACACGGGCACCCGCATGGCATACAAATGTAATTTTGTACGTGCAATATGATGGATACCGCCTGCCCCTCTCCATCTACTGTCTCTTCTTCTTCTTCTTCTTCTTATTTTTCTTCTTATTTTTCTATCTGCTACACTCACCGTCGAGTGATTTGGCAGATATTGAATTTCTAGTGTGAAGGACAGAGGACTGTCTGAAGATTTATGTCTGTTGCTGGCAGGAGTTCTGTTCGTGTGCGTGTGGGTGTGAGGGCATACGTGTGTATTGGGGGCTGTAAAGCTTTTAAGTACACGCATTAATTTTAACAAGTCGCAAATATAAAAACAAAGCCCACCCTCTCCGTCAAGAAAACTTTATGTTAATTACACGCTCGTTTTGGGACAAAAATGAAATGAGAATGAATGACCGGCAAATTGCCGTATATTTAATACCCTACCCGAAATGTAGCAAGCTATGGACTATACAAATAAAATATTAGTATTGTGGGTTTTTAGAAAAAAACTTTGGATTCGAGTTCGATGATAAGACATAAACTCTTCTTAACCTTAAGTTACATCTTACCTACGTAAACTGATATGCCTTCTGGGCAAGGTATACAAGAGCTTATACATCCCCAAGGGGCGCTGCATGCGTAGGGTGGCATTTAAAGCTTTGTGTGCTGTTTGGTGGTGGATAGTGAATGGTGTGAGTGCAATGCATGTAATTGATGAATGCCGTTAATTATGGGCGGCTCTAACTGTCACTTAAGGTTAATTTCACAGCTGAGCAAAGACAAATACTTAAAGAATCCTCCGCTGCGTACAAGAAACAGCTTTTAATGAAAATATTAAAAGCAACTTTTTTTTGTACATATTTTGTTTGATTTATTTGCCTTTATCAAAAGTTGAAATTATACAAAAATCTTTTCGCAACTAGTTAAATCTAATTTGCTACGGACAGACACAAGGCAACACATTTAAGCCAGAGTAATTATATTTCTAATCCGAAATTATTATTATACATAGTATACATATGTATTTTTGTTTGTATACATATTCCATTTCCCATCCTTCGCATTGAGACTTCTGCACAGATCTTGCTCAGTTCAATGCCACAATGATTACCCCCTCTAGCATGAGTTTCCAAGTTCCAGTTCCAGTTACCATTTCGTTCCTATGCCAAAACACCATCGCGCACTGTTTTGCTGCTGTTGTTCTCATGATCTTCGCGCGGTCGCAGCCGCGAGGGCGGGCGCCGTTGTAGTGCAGATTGAGAGTGACACACACACACACACACAGATAGAGAGAGAGAGTCGTGGGGAGAGGGCAATACGGGAGAAGGCGCTGGTGAGCGTCTGTTCTTTTGTTTCAAACCCGTTTATTGGCTCTAGCTCTGCTGCGACTGCGGCTGCTGTTGCTGCCGATGCCCTGAGACTCTCTGCCTAGGCAGCATTTCAACTTTCAAAAAGACAAAGTCAACGCCAGATTATACATAGTAAAACAAAAACAAAAACAAAAAAAAAAAAAAATATATATATATATATATATACAAACGTGCATACATATATAAGTATGTTTGCATGTATTGCAATCCCTCTCTTTCCCCTTTACTGCTGCTTAAGCTTTGCTGTTGGCCAAAATGTGTGTATTTAGCCTTTTGGTTATTTATTTGCTTCTGAAAATTTGTTGTTGTTGCTGTTCTTCATCTTCTTCTTTTATTTGGCGCAGTCTGCTCTTGCTTTTCGCCCGCTCCTCCCCCTCTTCCAAACTCATCCCACACATACTGTTTCACAATCGTCATTAGATTCTGTTCTGTTCTGTTCTGTTCTATTCTGTTCGTTTCTTCTTTCACCTTTGCATCCGTTTCACAATGGAAATTTTGGCAAAAAGGTCAACGTTCATAATTGTTGGTATCAAAAAAGAACCCAACGAACCGCGAGTTCAACTTTTACGTTATTCATACTACCAATTCGTAGATCTGTACATTCATACATACATAATATATGTAGACATACGTAAGGTATTCTTATTTGTTTCGACAGTATATTTTCACTGGAAATGACAGGTTGGAGTAGTTTGGATAATACTCAATTTCAATGGAGTTGTTGTCCACACCTCCAAAACTCTGCATCGCTGGTTTTGATTTTTCTCGGAATGTTCGCCGCTTCTGAAAAACTTTGCTTTGTATGAAGTATTTTGCATATGCATCAATTCCCGCCCGTTCTTTGAACTCCGTTTCCCCACTCAGTCTGTCTCCCATGGGAGCTCAGCAGCAGCCCTAATTCGTTTTTTTATGAAATGTGTTTCATATTTCGCCCATGCATTGATAAGATTTTAATCGGCAAGGGGAGATTGTTATCTTTATATTTTCGGTCTCTTTCAAAAAATGTAGATGTTTTATCGAGAAATATGAGGATAAGGAAAGATTAGGAATCGCTAAATAAAAGTTCTTACATCCTTCAAAAGGAATATTGGGAATCTTAAGCATTCGATATTTATTAAAAAGTCTATTTATATTGCTATAAAGGTTTGCCAAAGGATATATTTTTCCAATAAATACTGAAAAAAAATCTTTCGAAACTGAGATTTTTGGTTATAGAGATTACCAAGTTAATTCAGATTTCAAACCCATCTAAAATAAGTTAAAGTAGACTGGCAATATAATTATATATTTATAATTCAACGTGATTAGTTCAAGATAAATATTAGGAACACATACTGAAAGTTATTAATATTAGAGGTATAAATGCAATGGACAATAGAGAATATGGCGTATACTGTAAGTAACTCTTAAACTGTAAAGTGTTTCGGGTTTCTCGAATAGTAAGTATTTTATATATATATATATTCCAATTTTCGTGCTAGAAATTGGATAAGCAATGCAAATATTCTACTTCTATGCAGTAGTAAACGACTTCAACAATACCTCTTTGAAGTCAACTCAATTCATTTCATCTATCTAAATAACAAATAAAGCGAAAGCCTCGACTATCAAAATGTTAGTGATGCAACTAGAACAAATAACATATCCAAAAATACTAATGAAGTACAATGAAATACAGAAATAAAGAATTGCTGAATCAGAAGTATTCAGTT